AACTGATCACCACAAATAAATAATAATAAACACACTTTTATTATTAGTTTAAAATTCCTATAATTAAATAAACTAAATTAAATTTCGGCTGATTGATCACACTTCATTGTATTTCACGTCGTTTCCTGCACAACTTTTGTGCATTTACAACCCCAACCGGAAAAGTCTGCGGCAATACAACACTTGTACTGCCATTAATCCTAATGCAACAATTTCATGCCGTCAAACACAACTCGATTGATAACTCAATATGATAGATCAACATGTCATTGCTTCACCATACTAACGTCGGATTCCGAAGCGAATGAAAATGATGATCTTTCAAAAGAATTACAATCCTTATGTGATTGAATGGATGAAAACAAAACAGTATATCCCATATACCATCTTTGCATCAGAATTTCTTATATCTTATATAAAAGTGATAGATCTAATTGTGTAACCTATGGATGATCAATGTATCGCACAACTTCACCATACTAATGTCGGATTCCGAAGCATAATCAACATCAATCATCCAAATCGTACACAACAGATGCCAAATTTAATTAATCGTTTATGGTTAAATTCATTCTGTTTTAATCGAATCAAATACAGAAAAGACGGAAATTTAACAACTATCAGATCCATGGTTTCGTAAGTGGCTCTGATACCACTGAAGGAAAATTGCGATCTAAACGCAGCGGAAAACAAAATTTTCCTTTAGTGATCCTTACGAATGAGCATGGTCAGTGATAGAATCGTTACCTCTTTGTGGCGATTCAGATCTTTGATGCAGCGATCACAAGCGTTGATGAAGTGCAACGCCTCTACTCAGTCCACACGAACAACTTTCGGTCACAGTGCTAGCTGCTTACGAACGGAATTATTTGAGTGAGAAAAGAGAATCAAAAACGAAATTGCATCAAGTGAAAGCTTCATCACAAGGGTTCCTTTTATAGACTCTCTTGTGGGCTGCGGGCTAAAACCCTAATTCACATGATCCATAATAATATTATATATTATTATAATAACTATTATTATAATAAATATATTTATTTTATTATTATTTTATAACCATTATAAAATAACAATAATTATTATTATATTATCCGAATTTCTATTTTCACTTAAGTGCACCGTACCTTACGGTGTTCCTTTGATTTCTCTATCTCTCATCAAACTGTCCTTATGTGTGTGACCCTGTAGGATTTCGTAACGTTGGTAATTATATTAAATTATATATTTAACATAATAAACAGTAAGCGGTATCTAGCAACACATCACTGCTACCCAAGTCACGAAAATGTCATGTGATCTGACAAAACCTTTTTCGTGATAATATATGTTTGTACAATTACCCTTTTGCCCCTATGTCTATATTGAACACAAGGCATACTCTGTGTCATCCTTGTCCAGTTCAATATTGGGCCCTTAGACATTTCTCCTGTTATGCAGGATTGGCAAATTCCATCTAGGACACTCATGTCCCTCAGCATGCTTCGTGGAGTGCCCATCAACTGTCTTTATGATCATCCAGTTACGAATAATGTTTGATCAGCAATAAAGCACCCGACTCTACATCTAGGGTCCATAGTGGTTTCAGGTCGAAGGGTGGTAATACACCATTATCACCATGAGAATAACTTATGACACTTTGCATAACATACTATGTAGTATTCTCATAGCGGGTCAATCCGGTATAAATATTACTCCTAATATTTATACCTATGTCAAGACTTGATAACTCTTTATCCATGATCCATGAGATGTGATCATCAGTCTATCTTCATAATAGTCTCAATGCTTTTAATGTTATCCCACTTTGCAATAAAACTTGACTACGGATATTTTAAGAATAATGTCTTTATGTTTAATGGGATCTCATGATTAAGTCACACTTAACATTTCATTAAACAAACTAACTATTCTAGGGACTTTATTATTCTGAAAGACAAACATAATAAAGAAACGCCTTTTATTATTAAACGAATAATCTGATACAAGTACCAAAAAGTATTGGCCTCTAGGGCTTACACCAACAGCGCGCACCCGACGACATGAAGAGAACCTCGCGCACGCGCGCCCCGCCAAACACAAGCCGGCGGGCCTCACACCTCGCTATCTCCTTCCCCGAAGCAACGACCTCAAGTCCTTGCTCTCCCGCCGAAGAGCTTCAACTTGGGGGGCTCCTGTTCTGGCCTGGGCCAGGCCTCACCTCGCGGCCTAGCCCAATGATGCACAACCAATACCTCATATGATTTAAGTAGGCTGGCCGGGCACGCGACCCCCTCGAAGGGCATGACACGCTCCCGTCGAGCAGGACAGCATGCCTCAAGACGCCCTCGGCGCTCTCCCCTCGTCGGGCAGAACAACCCTCCGCGGGCAGAATTCCCATGACGTCGGGCAGGACCACGTGCCTCTCCCCCGCCCTCGGGGAGAACGACATACTTCCGAGGAACCTCTCGAGCTCCCCTCCGCGGGGAGAGCAACGTGTCCTGCGCACGTTCTCCACGTGCTCCCCTCCGCGGGGACACGTCATCCACCAACTGCCCACCTCCGAAAGAGCAGGTCAAACCCACTTTCCGGAGATCATGGGACAATTGAACTAGGGCGAAGACCACGTCCTGGTCTTCACTACGCCACGTAAGCCCTAGCAGTCACCTGGGTTGGCCCTGACAATCCAGCCCAACACAAGTGACCGTTGGCCCAGCGTTGGGGTCTCTCTATAAATACCCTCTTTCACAAGAGGGTCAGGTAATACACTTCTTACCCCTTTTCTGTACTTTGCTCTCACTCTGCCAAATTCCTTACTTTGGCATCAGAGTGTCTTGCAGGTACACCCCCCTTCTTCTCCTCATCACCGGTGAACAAGTAGCAGTCCAACAGAGTGTGACCAGCTCGCGATCCCCTTTTGATCAGGTCAGATCAATACTGATAAGAAACAATATAATGATGAGTAGTTGTAAAGTGATGAGTACAAGAAAGCATTTAAGCATTTTGAAAGTATGTATAAATATTTTGAGAATGATGTGAAAATCATGAAAAGTTCAAGTATTTTATAGAGTGAATATTATAAATGGTTGTTATTGTTCCCGTTGTGGAAAAAATTATTAATTTTATTTTTCATTAGTGTTGATAAAAAGGAAAACAATAACAAAAATTAAGTGTATTAAATATCATTTAACCAAATTTTAAATGTGTCAAATATCATCTAACCATATGATGCAAAAGTTAGAGATTATTATAAGATAATATATAGTGAGTGATCACATATGATAAATTAATAATAACACATTAGTAATATAAATAATATCAAATGCCATTACTTGATAATTAATTTTTCGTTAAGCAATACCTATATAGAATGATAAAATGAGGTTTTCATATTTGTTAAGATAATAATTAATTATGTTGATTTCAATGATAAAATGAGCATCATTTACAAAAATAACATTATTAATAATAGATAATAAAGTAGTTATATGAATTGTAATACAATAAATAATAGCAAGTTAAGGAAAAAATAAATAATAAATACTACATTGATATTCTAAAAGAACAAATAAAAATAGAAAATAAGACACTTATTTTGAGAGAGATGAAGTATTATATATTAGAGATAGGGATTTAATTCTCCATTAAATATGAGAGTTAATATTTATAGTTGTGATTTTAGAACTCTATTAAATATAAAAGTTAGTATCTATATATGGAGTTTAGATGTTTATTAAATATAAAAGTTTAGACTTCTATTAAATATAAAAGTTAATATCTATATATGGAGTTTAAACCTTCATTAAATATAAAAGTTATATATATATATATATATATATATATATAAATAATAATAATAATAATAATAATAATAATAATAATAATAATAATAATAATAATAGACACATTTATTATAGAACACTTGACAAGTTATTAATTTTTCATAACAAGGGGTAAGACAATAATAACGACAATAATCACTCTAATTATAAATCATTTGATAAATTTTTTTTTGATAAAATAATAATAATAAATATAATAGTCACTATATTTATAAATCATTAGATGAGTTGTCAGTTTTTTATAATCAAGACAAAATAATAATAATAATAATAATAATAATAATAATAATAATAATAATAATAATAATAATAATAATAATAATAATAATAATAGAGTGGGGATCAACTTATTTTAAGAATAAGTTTTTTTAATTTACTCTACATCGCAGTCTTTGGATTAAATCTAACCTAATGGTTAATTGAATAAAAAACTATAATTTAGAGTAAGCTAGAAATATTTATTTTTGAAGTAAGTTGATCCTCACTAATAATAATAATAATAATACCATATTATTCTAAATTATTATAGATAGAATATTACTCCCTTCGTCCTAAATTATAAGATGTTTTGGACATTCCGCACGAATTAAAAAACTTAATTATTACTTTATGAGAAAGATAAATTATGTATGACTTTATAGTAATGTTCCTTATAATTACACAGAAGAGAAAAAATTAAAATAGTTGAAAGAATAAATGATAATAAATAATTGATAATATATGGAGAAAATGTCATTAATACTACATTGAAAATGTAACGTAACTTATAATTTATGATAATTTTGTTTTTGACAAAGTGACTTATAATTTAGAATAGAGAAAGTCCTATTTTAAGGGGACATACTTAATTCTCATTATTATTTTAAGTTGAAATAATAGTAAAACGTGTGTTTTATATAATTATAGAATAATTACAATTTCTTAATTTTTTTATAATATTCAATACTTTTATAAAAAAATTCTCAAATAAAAAAAACAAAAACAAATAGAATTAGAATTAGTTAAAAGAACTAACTTCACTCCTCATTTCAGTCACATGGTTTTCCTGTTCCCTAGAAGCTCTTTGTTCCCAGTCCCATTTCACAGATCCAAATCTCAATTTTCACATAAATTAAATCAATCCTCAACAATTTCCCCATTTTCACTACTGAGAAAATCTCAATCTTCAATCTTCTATTTTCCATGGCAAATGCATGGAAAAGAGATAAACCCTTTCGCCTCCTCTCTCCAAAGTTGCTTTTTTTACTCTTCTCTTCCACTTTCCTCTTACTCTTTCTATTCTTCTCTTTCCTCACTCCTCATCCTTCAAACCCTAACCCTAACCTCTTCACTCTCAACACCAATCTCTTCTCAACTTCAATTCCCCCTTTCGATTGCATCAAATCTCCTCAAGCTCACCCGGTAGTTGCAAGCGTCGTTGAAGGTGTTCGTTACCCGTTTCTCTTCTCGCTTTCCGATTTTGGAAACCTACCCGATAAGCCACATAAGAACATTGTGAGGTTGCTTAAAGGGAAAGCTTTTCGGAAACCTGATATCTCTGTGACTATTCAGGAGATTCTTGAGAAGGTGAAAAGTGAGGGAAGTAATGGGTTTGTTGTAGATGTTGGTGCTAATGTTGGTATGGCGAGTTTTGCAGCTGCAGCTATGGGGTTCCGTGTTTTGGCGTTTGAGCCTGTTTTTGAGAATTTGCAGAAGATCTGTGAAGGGATTTACTTTAATAGAGTTGCGGATTTGGTTACTCTCTTTGATGCTGCAGCTTCAGATCGTATCGGTAACATTACCGTTCATAAGGTGATATTTCTTTTTTCGTAAACTTTTTGCTGTTGTTTTGTTGTGGTTGAATTGAATTTTGGGTCCTATAGTTTGTGGTGATTATGTGAATTGAACTGTAGTGGTGAGGGAGGGAGTGTGGAAGAAACTCGGGTTAGTGTGTAGATGGGTTCTTCTATAGTAATGTAATGAGCTCAGAAGAAAAGAATCCTTTAGGCTATGTTTGAATATTGTAAAACAAATGGAGTGGAGTGGAACAAATTCTTCTATAGTGAGGGGATTGCTTTTATGGAGCAACAAAAAAAGAGAATTATATTTAGAACGAACTGGTATGGTTTATGGTGAATGAAATTGTGACAATGAGAACGGAGAAACTATTTCCTTGATTTTCAAGTGTAGTAGTTATTGATTCCATATCTTAATACCTATTTCCTTGATATTTCCTTTCTGATTGGACATTACATATCTTAACCCTACTTTGCATGATTGACCATAATGCTATATTTCTATTTTAAGAAAATTTCATACTGAGAACACTTGGCAGAGTTTTACACATTTATTTCTTGCCATTTTTCCCCTATATACTGGGAATCTTGTACAAGATCTTTACTTCTATGTGAATGGAATTAACTATGATGTTCATAGAGTTCTTTTTAGTTCAAGTATAGTGTTAAGAATCCGTTAGGATCCATTAGCATCAATTAGTATTGATATTGTATTCATTACATTACCTTATTGTGTACAACTCACATGACTATAAATAAACACTCAATGTGATCTCATTTGACACAAGACATTACATAGAAATACAATTTATATATATAGTAAGCAATTAGATATGTTTCAAGTCTATTCTCGATAGTTTATTTTGGAAAAGGTTCACTGCTACTAATAAGGTATTATATAAATTAGTGGAAGTTATTAACATGCTAAACAAAATAGATCCAGCCATCTACTGCATTCAGGATATTTGCATACTCAGTCTTGTGGAAAAATTTATCTTTTTTAGGTTAATCAGTAGGCTTTGCAGATTTATTTGCAAAACACAATTTTAGTGAAGATCGATTGGATCTTTAGCTACTAGTTGCACTGTCTTCATGGTTTTTCCTTTCCTAACAATCCGAAAATTCAGGGCTAGCTTCATTTGTTTCTGTTGTTTAACAACCAATGTTAATAATTAGTTGTCGGATTATTATTTTTTATTCTTCACAGATTAGTAAGTTTTTCATATCATCACTCTTTTACTTGGTGAATTTGTTGTTAGCTTTGCATTTGAAGTCATGTTGAAGCTTAAGGACATGTTTCTAAAGAGCCAGTTGAGAACAATCATGACTGTTGGATTTTGACAGACCTGGTTAGCTAAGATGGTCCAAGCATTTACAAATATACAAATTTATACACATTAATCAAACTTGGCCATTGATTTGAAAAAACATTTTTTGAATTTGAACAATGATACAGTGACACTAGGTTTACCGGTGAGAATGTGTACTCTTATGACAAGGCCCTCATTTTTCGGTCATGAAAAGTAGATGAACAGAAAATCAAATCATTTATCATGCAATGTTACTACTCCTTGTCATTCATGTGCTGACGTTGTTTGTCTTTTCTTTTTGGGGTCTTAATTTGCCAGTTGGTTGGTAGGCTGGACAATAGTGCGGTATCCGCCACAGGAGCAAAGTTGGCATTTAAGTCCAATGAAGAAATAGCTTTTCAAGTGCGTACTGTTCCGCTTGATGAAGTGATTCCAACATCAGAGCGTGTGCTTCTGCTCAAAATAGATGTTCAGGGATGGGAATATCACGTTCTCAAAGGAGCTTCAAAGTTACTCTCAAGGAAGGGAAGCCAAGCTCCCTATCTCATATATGAGGAAGATGAGCGTTTGTTGCAGGCTAGTAATAGCAGCGCTAAAGAAATTCGAGACTTCCTTCATAGTGTGGGTTATCATGATTGCACCCAACATGGCACAGATGCACACTGTACCAAGAAGGATTGATTGGAATTTTGGTTTGGTTTTACAGCTCCTTGATGGAAAATCAAGGCATTCCTTGTTTCTGTCTACACTTTCCAGTTGACTAACACCGCATGTCAGCAAATTGTTGAGCAGTGAACAATTATATAAATTGGTTACAGGTGATGATGATGACGTGGAAATCATTGAGATGGGAAATACTGCACCGTTAACAGCAAGCTGAGCTGCTCAACAACATCATGCAAAAGTGTCGAATGGACATGCATTACATTTAACATGATTCTTGTGTAGATGTCTTTGGGTTTTACTGAGGTTTTGTATACAAGCCTTTAGTTGTAGGCATTCATTAAATGCACATCTTAAGTTTCCAATTACATTTGTGTATCTGACATATACATAATACAAAAGCATCTCATGTTTGATTTGTAGTAACCAATATGAAGTTTGAAACATATAGGAGATTATATCATCTCCGGAAGAAACCAAACCATGATCCGAATAATTTATAAATGGATACTGTGAAATTGTATATGTTCCAATATTATAAAGTAAATAACTGGCCAGTTCAAATAAATAGAATGTGCTATGTTTATGTGCTAGCAAGACTAAATAATAAATGAATTGTTATTAAGCTTCAACTTGTATGCAACTTGAGACATCTGAGAGCACTGCATCATCTTCCACTGGCCACAATCAACGACCCAAACTTCAGAAACCCCCTTGCAGGGTTCCCAAGATATCTATGGTTTCAAAACTGTAATTCTGTAAAAACGCAAGCATTTTTAGAAGCTTTAGAATCATTGTATTCTAAGTCCCTTCTTGTGGTACAGAAATAAAGATAGACATAATTCTCAAAACTACACCAAAGCAAGGATATCAGAAGACAGACATAAATTTACAGCCTAAAAATGCTCAAACAATGTTCAAATAGAAGATAGTTATGTCAATTACCAAAACAATTACTGCCTAGAGGCTCAAGCCACACAACTATGTCTTTAGGATTCTTTTGGAGCACTAGTTTTTGAAGAGCCAGCTCTTTCCACCATAACATCATAAAGCTGCTTTCCATTCTGTTTGGCAAAAATAAATCAGCAAGAAATAATGAAGTGTTAAAGCCTACTATCTGCAACTCTAGCAAGTATGATATTTAATATTAAACAATTTCCTTTTTGTATATTTACTTGCTTCCGAATTACTTACAAAGATTATTGGAAAGAAGTGAATTTGTCCTTCAGGCTTTGTTTGTGTTTCCTTGAAGTAAACCAAAATAGGGAAGTTTGGCCACCAGAATTCCCAGTTAACAAAGGTTGAGTACCTACAACAGATTAACATGTTATTTAGTCCTACACTGCTGTAAAAGTCTAGTCAGTGGTGAAACAAAACAGGATATACTTACTTCCAACGATTTTTTCCTCCGACAAAAGCATTCTCGCCTGATTCGTCTAACTGATCGCCTATCTTTACCTCCTAAAACACATTATGCATGTAACTCTAATATGAATAACTAAAGTTAACAGAATACACAACACATTAAAATGGAAAAAACTAAATAAGCATTTACATCAAGACATACAGATAAAGTAATAGATTAGAATGGTAAGAAGGAACAAACCAATGCCTCATCATCAAAGACAAATCTCACTCTAGTTGTCTGGAAATAAAAAAAGAAACAATAATTAGAGAAAATGCCAGCCGCCGAAAAGGAATGCAAATAAAATACAAATTGTAGCAAACAGTGAAAAATCAGCAGTAAAAATATTGGTCTTGCATTTTCTTAACTACACTGTCTTCTTTTAATAATTACCTGGAACAACAGAAGCAATCCAAGAAGACCAACAGGGACAGCAGGTATTAGATTATCTGTGTAAACCAACCCACCGGCAAAACCTGATAAAACAATTTTAAGTTATCGATAATTTAGGCAATAGATAGTCAACAGAGAAACTTGTTTTTCAGATGAATCAAACTAAGTGTTTCGAAAGAGTGTAACTAGCCCAATTTAATGATAGTAAGCTTATAACTATGTGAAGAGAGAGTGAATAACTACCAAGTAGTACAATTGGAATCCGGTAATCTGGTTCAGGAATCACAGTCTCTCTGATTACTCTACTCTTCTTCGCCTTCTTTCCAATTCCAAACTGTCAACAAAGAAACTCATTCATATTTACAACTCATAGTACTAGTAATCTATGAAACACCGACACAGGCACCAAACATGACACTAACACTGAAACACCGCATCCGTGTTAGACACTAGATTGAAGTGTCAGGGCTACATAAGTAACAAAAGATACTTTATACAATACAACCTCAACTCAATTTGTGAGCAACCATAAAAAAACACACATAGAACCACTTGAGGTTGCTAGTTACCAGTGAGTTAACAACAAAACGGTTTCCATAGCTTCCTGTTATTTGTCTCCCAGAGAAATTTGGATTAAGCACAACTTGTCCACACAATGAAGTCCTGAAACCACTCAAGTATCCTATATTTTCCTTCCCTGAAACAACCAATCACATTAAAACTCCACAACTAATATCAAACTAAAGAGTATGAAACCTTTGTAAAAATATCAATTTTTTGAAAAGCAGAGGTAAAATTTTCACTTAAATTTACACAGAACACCTATGAATCATAGATACCAAACGAAATTACTTGCAAATTTGCTTACTTTGGGAGGGAAGAAAGTGGTGTACGGACAACAAAGTGCTCGCCATTTGTTTCTGATTAACAAAATCCTTGTCCTTGTTTTGTGTGGTAGAACAATAAGAATGATATTACGGTTATGCCCATAATTTTGTGACATCAAAGTTATAGTCTTTAGAAAGTATCTAAGGGTATTAAAGTAATAAAAAGCGTGAACATTAGTTAACCACGGATTCATCAGGGTCTTATCTTTTCCACAACTACTTTATTACAACAGTTTACTCTTTCAGTTCAGTTCAGTTCAGACAAAGCTTCGCTACCCTTTTGATAATGGCGCACTCTTTATCTTTTGCTCCTATCTGTTCCCTGAAATCTTCAAACACACCTGGTATTGTTAACTCTTTTTGTGTCTGTGTTTTTATGTTGTCTTATCTTTGTCTGTTTTTTTAATGTTTTGAGTGAGAATTTGTTTGACTTTTAACAGGAGCTCTTATCGGTAATTCGGTTACCCGAAAGGCTTTTTCGATGAAGGATGTTTGTCTAAATTCTAAAGTTAGAAACTTTGAGTCTTTGGAAGTTAAGGTGAGGTTGATTTTATAGTATCCCAATTCACAAATAAGATACTTTTGTTCATTCTCTTATGTAAATATTGAGTTCTATGAAAGGATATTATTGGTGAGTGGAATAAGCTAGAATAGAATGAAATGAAATGGATGATGAATCAGTTTTTGGTTTTGATTTAATACAGGCTACTGGAGATAGTACTCCAGTGACAAAAGCAAGGAGCATTGTTTGTCCTGATTGTGATGGAAACGGTAAGTGAAAATGTAGATTTCATCTTCTTTTTTGTGCTTATACTTTGGAAATCTGCTTTAGATTTGAGTTAAGCAGATGTTTCACCAAATACTTGTGTGACCTTAAACAATATGGTCATCGAGGCCGAAGTCGAAGATTCGTGGTGATTACAGTTAGAACATAATGTGTTTGTTAGTTGGTTAAAGTTTAGTTTCTTTCTTCAGGTGCAATATTATGTACTCAATGTGAAGGTGGTGGAGTTAATTTGATTGATCATTATAACGGACGATTTAAAGCTGGTGGATTATGCTGGTTATGCAGGTAATTAAGTGTATTGAACAATGTTCTAAACAAATACTTGATTATAATGTGGAAGACTATAGTTAATGTTTTAAACAAACACTTTTGTGTTAGTAGTAGAAGAATATGTAATCCTAATTTGTAGCATGTATATGTATATGTATGCTTGTTTGTTTCAGAGGTAAAAAGGATATTTTGTGTGGAAGCTGTAATGGAGCTGGCTTTATAGGTGGATTCATGAGCACATTTGATGAATAGAACAGGATTTTGGCTAGATTGAATGTTGAAGATTGTTCTTAGCTTTGAGGAACAAAGAGAAAAGGAAGTGGAAATCCACTTGATCATGTGTTGTTAGTCTTTTTTGTAATGCGTATTATTCATTTATGTATTCTGCGATTGTGGCAATAAGATTTTGTATGAGTTTATAACTTTTTTTTTTTGGACTGTACCTGAATTTATAATGGTTTAGTGGATGAGTGTAAACCTGCTATATTTTGTGTTTTATTTTATAAATATTTTGTTTGATTGGTTAAAGTTTAACTAACTAATTTAAATTGATAATTATTGTGGCTTTTTTAAAATATCATTCAAATACAACAATTAAATCTAAGCGGAGTCGGCGGCATGAATCAACTCTTGTCATAAAGTTTTATTCAAAACCATACTTTTATCTAAATCGTTATTATTTTTCTAGGTCTTTTTTTATCAATAGTTGATTGACTCTTCTTCATCTGATTTACTTACCATAGAATCTAAAGATTTTTTTTACATGACCAAATCACTTAAGTTTTTTTCCATCATTTTTTTATTATAGGTATTATCCCAACACTCTATAATATTGTCATTTCTAATCTTATCATGTCTAGTCTTGTTATACATCGAACAAAACATCCTCATCTCTATTACACTTACTTTATTCTCGTAATGGTTCTTAACTGTCAAACATTTAGTCACGTATAACATCGCATGTCTTACTATAGTTTGATAAAAAAGTTTCTCTTTAGCTAGAGTGGTATTTTTCAGTCACATAAAATTCTTGAACCTTCTTCTATTTCAGCCACCCCACTTGAATTCCATGGTGTACACCCCTTCTAATTCCGTCGTTTTGTATTACAAACCCTGTTAGGGGAGATTTTTACTAGGGAGCATTGAACATTGTGAGACTTTTCTTTATGAGCAAGACTTTGTGAGAGATACACCACATATTTGTTAAACGATGGCGCAGATCTAGAGGGGGGGGGGGGAGTAGATCACTTGTTAAAAATAGAGTTGGCGCTACCAATATTTGGTTTTAAAAGGCTTTTAGGCGGAAGCGGCCGATGAACTATATTCGTCTAAAACGAACCTTTATCGAAAAAACCGGATATATGCAAAACCTATGGAATCCGATAAAAACGAGATTAAGAATCACTAATTTAAACATACATCAACCAAAATTTATTCACTATGACGTTGGACTATTTCCAATGCTTGAAAAATATAATCAAATTGAAAAGACAGCACAAGCGTTTATTGATGAAAGGGAAAAACCAATATTAGTAATTATAAGAGAGGACATTTTGGTAACTCTAATATTTGGTCAATTGGTGTTAGATGACAAAATATCAAATGAAGATATTTTACACTATTTTATATATATGAGAAAGAAGAAGAAAGTTGGTAAGAAGAGATATAAAGAAAGAAAGAGGAAAAAAGAATAGAAAAGGGAAAGAAGAGAGGAAAAACTCATGGAGGAAGAAGAGGAATTCATCATCATCAACTCCATCTCAATTTATTCATCTCCAAAGTGAGTTCCATTAGATAGTATAGCTTTGGGAGAGATGAATATGAACATTGGGAATTTAATGTATTGTGAAAGCATGTTTAAAGGTGTTTTGCATGTTGATACTTGTTGATATTGATGAATTACATGTCTATGTGATGTTATACCATGTTAATTAAGTGTTTGGATGCTTTTTGAACAAGTGGGTGTGAGGTTTAGGCCATGGATACCCTCATTTTCGTATTCTACAGATTTTGAATGTCGCATGAGTTGCACAACGAGCTGGAGGTGACCTGCTGTTATGCTATGGTCGCACATCGAGCTCGCAGCAAGTTGAAAGCGAGCTCCTCACCCAGAGCTCGCACAACGACTATGATAACATTTTGGTTCTGTCCAGGCGTCACTCAGGGGTCGCACAACAAACTCAAAGCGACCCAGCCTCGCTTTCCCGTCACACAACGACCATGACAAAATTCTGTTTTCCCGTTTCTTTTTTCCTCCATAACTTATGAACCATAACTCGGATTGAGGTACAATCGGAAGCATTGGAAATCTATTTCAATGCTCTATGTGATAAAAAGTTTAAATATGGATATAGATGTGTGATTGATATATTATCATCAAATACAATGAAGGTAGTATAATATGTGAAGGGGTGAAGATGAACACCTTGTGTTGTGACGAATACCATGAGGATTAGTTGATAATTGGTGAGGGGCGTGACTTTGAAAGACCTAACTATTTATGTGATAAAAAATTAAGGGAGAACATCGATAAAGGAATGTTGATTCTATGCTTTACATGAGATATTTATGCTTGGTGCATTATGCTATGCTACTATACTTGTTATGCTATATATATATATATATATATATATATATATATATATATATATATATATATATATATATATATATATATATATATATATATATATATATATATATATATATATATATATATATATATATATATATATATATATATATATATATATATATATATATTGAATGAATTAATAGAATGAAGAATGGTAAGGAAACCCTTGGTATTAATTAATAGAATGAATTAGTAAGATGATTAGGACATGATGAATAATATAGATGGCAATGCTTGTGCAATGATGCCTAGGTGTGTATCATTGGCAAGTAGTTGTCTAGTCGTGAGGTGAGCTTTGTATGGAACATATGTGATTTCATGTGGCTTTATGTTTAAGCTGAATGTGTTCGCCTTTTGATTGTCGAATACAATCACGTTGTGTCGTGTTTTATCATATAGTCGGAAACTACCTTTGTGGATGCTGCCCCAAGAGTTGATGCTTATGTAGAGCTCCTTTGGGATGTACACATTAGTACTTTGACAGGAGTTCCCTTAAATGAATGGAGTCTAAGGGTAAGAGACTTTAGATGGGAAGGGTCCCATGGGAAGTGAGGGTTCATGTGGGAATAACCTTGAATCTGAATCTATTCATTTATCCCCGCGTGTATGAGTAGAGCCTACGGGTAAAGGCTTGAGATGGGAAGGGTCCCACGGGAAGCGAAGATTCATGTGGAAAACACCTATGTCAAATTATGATACAAGGATCCGTGACCTACGCTAAAAGTCCTAGACGTAGGTAAGGCGGATGAGAAGTTTACCTTGGTATGATTTTCGATTAGTGATTGTTTGAGTTGGTGAACTCAAGAGGCATGTTTCCATACATTAAAAGTTGTGTGAACTCAAGTCTTATTACCTTTTCCCTTTGACTTGAGCAGAATTGGATTAGAACCTTGTAGAGCCGAGTGAACCCATAAGATAGAAGAACTCACTGAGATTATTATGTCACCCAATTATTGTTGTTGTTTTTTAGGTATGGTTTGCAGGTTTAGTTTACAAGTCGAGCTATGCATGGATGTTACCAAACCAGGAATAAATTCACTATCAGTAGTATTAATTTTAAGTATACAACCTCTGGTAACTTATCACTTAATTCCCTACCCAATGCAACTTCTACCTAAAAACCCATCTAGATAAGAGAAACCCATCTCAATTCTTAAATCACCTCAGTGATATCTAACAGTCACAACCTCCGGTGACTATATCAAACTGTTCAATTGAGAGACAACCCTTTCAACATAATATTCAATACTCTTGACTAACACTAATACTTGAATTTGCTTAAAAGCTTCATCCAAGAACAATATACAGTTAAGTACCTACATGTTTCTAAATATGAAAAACTATGTCTACCACAATGTATTAAACCGATACAAAGGGTGACTTACAATACAAGAAAAGCACACGACTCTCAAAATCCTAAGTCCTTATTTTTTCTTTACAAAAGTACTAACAAGGACTAGTGATTTTCCCTAGGTCTTGGTCTTCCTTTTATCATCTTTAGCTGTCCATGGGCTTCGAAATCTCTATCCAATCATACCTTGACTCATGTTCTGATTATGCCTTAAATCTTGGAACAGATCTGCAGCAAACCTACTGTATCAGACCAAGATGTCGAGTCCTCAAGATATGACATCTTGTCCGATATGTTATTCTTTACAGATTTCTTCATATTAGAACATCTTTTTCAACATCATGTTTTGCCAAAATTTAGTAAAATCTTAGAGCCTTCAATCTCTCCCTTTTGACAAATTTTGGCTAAAACTCCTTTTGTACAATAAACCCAGAAAATCAAGGAGTAGAAAGAGTATAAAGTCCCGAAGTTATTTCAGCCGGCCTATGACGAGTTTAGCAGAAAATAATGTGACTTCTGGAAGCTTTCATTCTTCCTGTACATCTGTTCGAATGATTTACACGGCATACACCACCTGTTGTATGACATGTACCTTTTGCCCTGGTGTACATGAGGAGGAAGATACTAGACACTCCCCCTCAAAACCAGTCCCAATTTACCATCCTCTATTATCTAAATCAAGGCTCAGTGGACCAAACCCCAACTTCAGATAACTCAGAACACAAGACATAATTGTTTTCATAATCATATCACAAGACACAAAAAGAAGACTCAGAACAAAAAGAACTGAGACACAGACAGTATGTTAGAACATCCTATTCAACATCCTTGCAAAACAACTGCGAGAACAGACTCAAGACACAAATGAAGATCAATCATGTATTGTAAGGAACAACACACAACCGAGATAGACACACAACCTATCTCCCCCTTTTTATCCAAAAATTGACAAAAGTATCCAACACAATTTTATACCCAAGCAATACTCACCCAAACCCGGATAAATGCCATAAAATTAAGAGACAACAAAAACATAACCTGAGATAAAAGAAGCACAAAGCCCCTTTAAATACCCGAGCAGTTTGTAACACCCCAAATTCTTAGAATATTTATTTAATTTATTTAAATATGAATATTCGCATTTTTGGTGATTCTCGGTGGTTGGTGGGAAATATTGAGAATTATGGATTTTTGGTTATTTATTTAAATAATAGTATATAATATGAGTATATTAGTATTATTATTAATTTAAATAAATATAAGTTA